AATAAATAAATAAATAAATAAAGGAAAAGGTAGAAAATCAGTAGGTAAGAAACAGTAAATCGTGCACACTTTGTTAAATGTTAATCTGAGAGAACTAGTGGCTGCCATGTGAAGTGTTCAATGGCATCTAGGTAAAATTGTGAAAATGAATAGGAATCCGGAGAGATTGTATGGTGAAGCGTGGGTGGCACAGGTTCAGTTCTGGCATTGTCAAGTACCTATTAAATTGCCCAGATGAACATATCTGGAAACATTTTTTTCCTAAAGAGTAAATGGTTAAAGAAGCATCTTTAGGGTTGTACAGAAGAAAGAAGGGAAGGATGAGAATAAAAGGAGGCAGTAGCAGGAGGGGCAGGGAGGTTTTTATATTTTAAGTTTAGCCAGTTTGCTCTTAGTCAGATTCTGGGATTTGTGAGTAGGAATGCATCCTTTCTGTGTTTGAGATCCTATAAGCACAAAAAGTAAATTCTTAACTTCCTTGCTTATTCTGAAAATTAAAGGTAACTCAGGGTATAATCCCATGGGCACTGGAGTTCCATGACATGAGATAAGTACTGTGCTTTTGCCAGAAGACTCGTGTCATGTAACTGGGGGATGTGTCTCTTCTCACCACTGTCACACTAATAAATTTCACATACCTCAAGTAGTTGAAGGCATCTCTCAGACACCTTCACCCTAAACTCAGCCATTCTTCCTTAGTGCTGTTAGGCTAGGCATTAGCCAAAGGATAACCAACTCCAAATCTCTCAGAAGGGGGTCAGCCTTTTAACTGTGTCACCAAGCCAGTGCCTTCTTGCCTCATCTGGTATTCATATTTAATTTTCTGTTGAGTAAAAGGATATCTTCGGTACAAACTTTATTCTTATTCTTCCTCCTCTTCCACCTCCTCCTTTTCTTCTTCTTCTTCTTCATGTGCTGTTTTTAGTAGCCTGAGTATTATATTCCTAACTTTAAAGTTACACAGGAAAATAAACAACGAAGACCGTTTTAGTTAGGAGAAACGAAATGAATTTATTTGGGAAGTACAGTTGAGTAGGAAAAAAAGGAAAGGGAATTTCTCAAGTATTTAAGATTAAGGGTAAAAAAGTTGTAATATCTATATTCTTCTACAATTTGAACACACACATCCCCACGAACTATTTTCCTATGTCCAAAACTCAAATCAGCTCTTCCCATAGGCTCCACACTACACACTGTCTCAAAGATTCCATTCTCCTCTCTACCCCATGGCAGTATTTTTGACTAAGTAGTGACTCTCTCCATAACTACATCACACTCCATCACATTCCAAACACAGTAGACAATCAGGATTCAGCCATGCACTGAACATTCTATCATCCATTTACCAGTCATTCCAGCACCCAGTCCATGCATGCTTACAATCATGTATCACCGCGACAAGGCAGCAATCCATAAAGGGGGAAACCCCACTAAAGGGGGAAAACCCACTATACCCCTTTATAAATTTCTATATTTATATACGTATTTATAAAAATATAAATCTGGCTAGAATCTGTGCCATCTGGCTAGAACGGGCACAGTTGTCACAATTCATAAGTAAGAGTGTGCAGGATTGCAACCTTGGAGCACAGTCCTACCTAACCAAGACAGCTGTGGGCTGGCTGAGCTGTCAATGAGCTACCTGAACCTGTGCTGAATCCAAATTCTTCCCAGTGAAGAGATGTTGTAAATTACTTAGAACCTTGACCTTAGTCTAACTTTGTGCTGATGTAGGATGCAATTAGATGTGCATTTGTCCTGTGCTTGTTATGGATTGGGGATGGTTGATTCAGTCCTTTCCCCAGGAAACCCATGACATATGTGCCATTGCAAACCAAACTGCCTTTAATCAATGCCTACCTGTTTTTTTTAAGGTCCTTGTCAGGAGC